AAATCCAAATTGCAGTCAGGGAATATGAGGGAGTTTACTGACCCAGGTAATTGAGAAAGCATAAATCTGCTGGCTCTTTGTTGAGACTTCAGGAGAGTAAAAACAGGCAAATGTTACTGTGAGTGCTTCACTGGAAATGTAAAATCTTTGTGTTTTAGAGTATTTGTTTTAGTAAGAAAAGTTTACACAGCTTGTGGAGAGTTATTTTGTTGGAAAATAAATTTTTGTAGCTTCTCCACTTCTTTTTCTACACTTGCCAATTCCTCTGCATTCCCACTGTGCAGCCAGCTCACTGCTTTTCCTTCACCTAAACTCTTGTGCTGCTGGTGAGAGCTTAGAAAAATGACTGTGACAAAATACTCTTGTTATGAGCTTGCTAGAGAAAATGCATTGAAATCAAAGGGAGTGAACACAGTTTGTTTTGCACTGAACACCTGTTACACTGGTAAGTGGGGGGAAATTCGCTATTATTTTTGACTACAGGTTCCGTACCCTTGCCTAGTGTAAAAGCTGTTCTGCATCACATATAGTCTTTGTAGTAATTGTATGAATGAAATACTTTTTGTATTTCACTGTAAATAGCACATTATATAAAGACTGTAGTGGGATAGTAATTAATTTAGCTGGAAGTTCTTTTTATTTATTATTTTAATTCTGGGAATATCAGCATTGCCTGATTTTGAATATCATTTTAGTGAAATGGATAAGATATATGGAAGGTGCATGTTTTCTCCAATCTCCTATTCCAGCATCCAAGCAATTCAGTTTAACTCCCTTAAACATACTCTGTTCTCCCTCTCCCCTCCCGCCCCTCTCCCTGATGCTTTATATGCTTTTTTTACAACACCGTAAGAGTGTGAAATTCTGCTGTCAGATATCTGGCCGTTCCTCCCAGTGCCGCTGACTGTTGTGATCATTCAAGGGTAGCATTTGATTTAAAGCATGAACTGTGGGGAACACAAGAAAAAGGGTATTTTTCTAGAAATAAAATTCTCAGCTTTTTTTTAAACATCACTAAATGACTTTGTAGACAAAGGAAGCATAGGTAAGTAGATCTGTTGTATTACCAAATGGATATATAAGAGTATATAAACAGTGGCTTTTGATAACGAGAGGATTTTCAGGGTATCAGTGGAAAACAGCATTGAAAGACTTTGTTGTTTGAATCATATCAGAACACATGTAAACGGGAAGAGAAGTTATATTGTCTTGCCTTGTATAGCCTGGCTTTAGCTATTTTACCAGCTTCAGTAAATGCTGTTGCTCCCTACAACTGTTATATGACAGCTATGTCCTCTAAGAAGTGATCTATGGATTCCACTTCAATACCTTGAATTTTTTTGTTCTTTTTTTAACTTTTGCTCCAGAGAGTGTTTATTTTCCACCTTTCTTAAAGGAAATTTTTTAAGGAATGTTTGGCAGAATTTCAAAGCACTGAGTAGCGTTAAGAAAACCGTGGAGTAGGTAGCCATGTGTAGTCAAATAAATGAGAAAATAAAGAGCATAGTCCAAGCCCTAGTATTTAAGTATGGCCTATATATTGATTTACAGAATATAAATACCACAAAAAAAGGCATGTCCCAATCCAACTAATGAGAGAATCATGTTTTGTATAGTGCTGCTAAATATGTACAGACAACATACTAACACATGCATTTCTTAGGCAGACTCACTCAGTAGGTTTTTATTAGCCTTGCTACGATACTTTCCTTCAGTTACTGTTTTTAGAGTGACAAACCATTTGTAATGTGAGCTTGTACTACACATATTGCACAATACCACCTGCCTGCTGAGCACTACTTTGAAAAGCACTTTAACAGAATTATTTCAATAAGAAGCTTTAAAAATACTCCAACTGGAGGACATATCAAAGGTTATTGTGATGAAATGTCTTTGCAAAGTTTTGCCAATAGAAAGTTTAATACTATTGTTTGCATTAGGATACTAATGAGTTCATATTTCTGTATCTGGTTTCAGGAGCTTTGAATCTGAGGAACGGTAGAGGTCCCAGTGAGCTCCAGAGTCTTCTTATGTATGTGTGGTACAAAACAACCTGTAAAATTTCTGTTCAAATGAGCTAAAAAGATAATAAAACCAGTGAGACAGAAGGAAAGGGAGGAAGATAAAATAGTTAAGGGATACATAGGTCTTGTCAGCTCTCGCTCTGTATTTTTCTAAAGAATGTCAGTATATGGAAAGAATGGGATGCATTTTAACATTTACGTGTATATATGTTAGATGTTAACCTTATTTTTGTATGTCTTTTCAAATGAATACACATCAGTGCTGTTCAGCAGCCCGAGTCTATCCTTTACCAGTTGTTAGTGTCACACAGACATCATGGAAGAAAGAATTCTCGAGGAGGGACTGGAAGGAGGTGAGAGTAAGTCGCCAGACCTGTTAAGGGACAGGACAGTGGGGATGAATAAGCAAACAGGTTTGTGCACAAAGGCAGCATCAGTAGGAGTTAAGAGCTGAAAGAAACTTTTTAAATCGATCCATAAATTACTGCCTAGAAATGAAAAAATTCTTCTGGAATACTCATGAATTCATATTCTGTGTCTGGCATCAGGAGTTCAGAATTTGAGAGGAGTTCCACAATTTTTGCTTCTCAAGGTGTAAAATTAAATAGATGATAGTTTTTTCCTAAGGATTTGGCCCTAATTAACGAAGACTGGTTTTAAAGCCACAATGAGTTTGAGTGGAGTACCTGTTTTCACAGAAATCTGTGAACTCTTAACCTATAGGCCTTATATATAAATGGAGGATAAGGAAATGAAATTCCACTCATCAAACCCTGAATAAAAGTAGAGACCTATTTTCACTTCTCCCTGCATATCTGGTTACTCATCCTATACACGCAGTTCCTGCCCAGGTCTGATACCCTGCCCCTTAATACTTAACTGTCTGTTATGAATTTGTTAGTAATTATAATTTTTAAGCTCCATTGGTTTGTAAAGTCATATTCACATTCTGTGACACCTGCAGAGGTTTTAATGTGGTCTGTTATCATTCCCTTAGCTGGAATGCAGCGAGTGGTCTGATTGCTTTTAATCAGTGTCTGTCCAAAGTCAAAAGGTTAGTGTAAACCACCTCCTGTGTTAGTTACTAAAGCCTCTTCAAGCGTTTGCTTTGTGGTTACATTTGACCTCTGACTGCTTTAACACATCAGGCTGAAGGCGATTTCCCAACTGCTTTTGACTTTAATTCTATTCCGTCCATGAAAATAAAGCACATTGCAAAAAACTTTATTACCTAGTCTAGAGGAAGAACAGAGAAATTATTTTTCAGAGTGTAATATAACATTTCTGGTGTACATTTACTTACATTTATTACTTTATTGCAGATCTTTCACCAAAATTTTAGTTCTTCTATCATCTGTAAAATATGTGGATGCCATTTTTATTGTGAATGTTTTTGATCAAGTGTTATTCAATTGAATTTATTGCTTGGCCATTTGTCTATAATTTATTTCCCCACTTTTATATAACAAACTGTTACATATGAGCTTACAGTAGCTTTATAGACAGTTTCTTTTTATAACTTACCACCCTAGAGATGTGTTCCTACGCAGTCCCAAAAAACATTTATATCAGTTATAATAGAAATTAAGCTTGTTCTTCTAACTCATCCGTGTTCTCTTTTCTTACTTTATTCTTACCACTTTTATCTATCATGCATACCTACTCTGCAATGAATTCTAGCAGTACAAAATTGGATTTGCTTATAAATTTTTACTCATGAACAATTAAACATAAAAAGAATGTTCTTTATATTTTAAACTGCCCACTCCAAAGTAATTTCTTGTTGATCACTGTCATCAGCCTATTTCTTACTAAAACATTCCCTTTTCC